GGAGGGGGGCCGCGGCGGCGGGTGGCACCGGCCGCAGCGATGGCCATGGGGACAAGGATGGGGCCACCATGGGGCTGGGAGCGTTGGAGTAATGGGGGCACTGGGGACACTGGGGACAGGGCATTCAGGATGGGGTCAGGCCAGGACTGGGACAACTCTGGGGACAGGGTGACATGGGGATTGGGGACACTAGGGATTGGGGACATCGGGGACAGGGCCACGTCGGCACTGGGGACATTCAGGACAGGATCGGGCCGGGACTGGGAGAACTCTGGGGACAGGGTGACATGGGGATTGGGGACACCAGGGATGGGGCCACACTGGGGAGAAGGTCACATTGGGATTGGGGACACCAGGGTTGGCCCATGGGGCGGAAAAGGTCAAAGCAGGATTGGGGACACCAGGGATGGGTCCGCGTTGGGGACAAGGTCACATTGGGATTGGGGACACCAGGGATGGGTCTGCGCTGGGGACAAGGACGCATTGGGATTGGGGACACCAGGGATGGCCCATGGGGTGAACAAGGTCACACTGGGATTGGGGACACCAGGGATGGGTCTGCGTTGGGGACAAGGACGCATTGGGATTGGGGACACCAGGGATGGCCCATGGGGTGAACAAGGTCACACTGGGATTGGGGACACCAGGGATGGGTCTGCGTTGGGGACAAGGACGCATTGGGATTGGGGACACCAGGGATGGGGCCGTGCCCCACGGTGTCCCCGCGTGTCCCCGCGTGTCCCCTGCCAGGTACTGCCTCATGCAGTCCATCAAGCACTGCCAGGTGCAGCGCGAGAGCCTGGTGCGCGCGGGCAAGAAGATCGCCTACCAGGGCCGCGTCAAGGACGAGCCGGCCTACTACTGCAACGAGTGCGACGTGAGTGCGGCCACGGCACGGGGGGACGGCCACGGCATGGGGGGACGGCCACGGGGGCTCCGGGGGGACGAGGACGTGGGGACATGGGGACGGGCCATTGGGATGGTCCTTGGAGTCAAGGCCATGGGGACAAGGCCATGGGGATGGGCTGTGGGGATGGTCAGCGGGGCCAAGATCGTGGGGACACGTCCATGGGGACGGTCCTTGGAGCCAAGGCCATGGGGACAGGGCCATGGGGATGGTCAATGGGGCCATGGGGACAAGATCATGGGACAGGCCATTGGGATGGTCAGCGGGGCCAAGATCATGGGGACGAGGCTGTGGGGACAAGATCATGGGGACGGGCCATGGGGATGGGCCATTGGGATGGTCAGCGGGGCCAAGATCATGGGGACGAGGCTGTGGGGACAAGATCATGGGGACGGGCCATGGGGATGGGCCATTGGGATGGTCAGCGGGGCCAAGATCATGGGGACGAGGCTGTGGGGACAAGATCATGGGGACGGGCCATGGGGATGGGCCATTGGGATGGTCAACAGGGTCAAGGCCATTGGGATGAGGCCGTGGGGACAAGATCATGGGGATGGTGCTTGGAGCAAAGGCCATGGGGACAAGATCATGGGGATGGTCAACAGGGCCAAGGCCATGGGGATTAAGGTCATGGGGATGGTTCTTGAAGCCAACTCATGGGGACAAGATCATGGGAACAAGATCATGGAGATAGGTCGTTGGGATGGTCAGTGAGGACAGTCAGTCCATGGGGCAGTCAACGGGGCTGGTTTTGGGCCCAAGGCCATGGGGTTGGTCAATGGGACTGGTTTTGGGCCCAAGGCCATGGGGCCGGTCCATGGGGCAGTCAATGGGACTGGTTTTGGGACCAAGGCCATGGGGCAGTCAATGGGGGCCCATGGGGCTGGTTTTTGGGGACAAGGCCATGGGGATGGGCCATGGGGATAGTCAATGGGGACAGTCAGTCCATGGGGCAGTAAACGGGGCTGGTTTTGGGCCCAAGGCCATGGGGCTGGTCCATGGGGTTGATCAATGGGACTGATTTTGTGACCAAGGCCATGGGGCAGTCAATGGGGGCCCATGGGGCTGGTTTTTGGGCACAAGGCCATGGGGATGGGCCATGGGGATAGTCAATGGGGACAGTCAGTCCATGGGGCAGTCAATGGGGCTGGTTTTTGGGGACAAGGCCATGGGGATGGGCCATGGGGATGGTCAATGGGGACAGTCAGTCCATGGGGCAGTCAATGGGGCTGGTTTTTGGGGACAAGGCCATGGGGATGGGCCATGGGGATGGTCAATGGGGACAGTCAGTCCATGGGGCAGTCAATGGGGCTGGTTTTTGGGGACAAGGCCATGGGGATGGGCCATGGGGATGGTCAATGGGGACAGTCACTCCATGGGACAGTCAATGGGGCTGGTTTTGGGCCCAAGGCCCCGGGGCCGGTCCGTGGGGCCGGTCCGGGGGCCGAGGCCAAGGCTGGCGCCGCAGGTGGAGGTCTTCAACATCCTGTTCGTGACGAGCGAGACGGGCGGGCGCAACACGTACCTGGTGCACTGCGAGGGCTGCGCGCGGCGCCGCAGCGGCGCCCTGCACGGCGTCGTGGTCCTCGAGCAGTACAAGACCGAGGAGCTCATGCAGATCTACGACGGCTTCACCCTGGTGGGTGCCGCGGCGCGCGCCCGTCCCCCCGGGGCGACCCTGGCCTGGGGACACCCATGGGCAACCCTGGCTTGGGGACACCCAGGGCCAACCCCTCCAGGGACACCTGGGGACAACCCTGGCCTGGGGACGCACAGGGGTGACCCTGTCCTGGGACACCTGGGGCCGACCCTGTCCTGGGGACACCCGGGGGTGACCCCTCCAGGGACACCTGGGGACAACCCTGGCCTGGGGACACCCAGGGCCAACCCCTGTGGGGACACCCAGAGACAACCCCTCCGGGGACACCCAGGGCCAACCCTGGCCTGGGGACACCCGGGGGTGACCCTGGCCTGGGGACACCTGGGGACAACCCTGGCCTGGGGACACCCAGGGATGACCCTGTCCTGGGGACATCCAGGGCCAATGTCTCTGGGGACACCTGGGGCCGACCCTGTCCCGGGGACAGCCAAGGCCAACCTTGTCCTGGGGACATCCAGGGACCCAGGGTCCCCAACCCTCCCTGGTGTCACCCACAGCCCCGGTCCCCTCCCCATTGGGTCCCTTGTCCCCCAGTGTCCCCCAATGTCCCCATCCCAATGTCACCCACAGACCCGGTCCCCTGCCCATTGGTTTCCTTGTCTCCCAATGTCACCCACAACCCCGGTCTCCTCCCCATGGGTCCCTTGTCCCCCAGTGTCCCCCAATGTCCCCATCCCAATGTCACCCACAGACCCGGTCCCCTGCCCATTGGTTTCCTTGTCTCCCAATGTCACCCACAACCCCGGTCTCCTCCCCATGGGTCCCTTGTCCCCCAGTGTCCCCCAATGTCCCCATCCCAATGTCACCCACAGACCCGGTCCCCTGCCCATTGGTTTCCTTGTCTCCCAATGTCACCCACAACCCCGGTCTCCTCCCCATGGGTCCCTTGTCCCCCAGTGTCCCCCAATGTCCCCATCCCAATGTCACCCACAGACCCGGTCCCCTGCCCATTGGTTTCCTTGTCTCCCAATGTCACCCACAACCCCGGTCTCCTCCCCATGGGTCCCTTGTCCCCCAGTGTCCCCCAATGTCCCCATCCCAATGTCACCCACAGACCCGGTCCCCTGCCCATTGGTTTCCTTGTCTCCCAATGTCACCCACAACCCCGGTCTCCTCCCCATGGGTCCCTTGTCCCCCAGTGTCCCCCAATGTCCCCATCCCAATGTCACCCACAGACCCGGTCCCCTGCCCATTGGTTTCCTTGTCTCCCAATGTCACCCACAACCCCGGTCTCCTCCCCATGGGTCCCTTGTCCCCCAGTGTCCCCCAATGTCCCCATCCCAATGTCACCCACAGACCCGGTCCCCTGCCCATTGGTTTCCTTGTCTCCCAATGTCACCCACAACCCCGGTCTCCTCCCCATGGGTCCCTTGTCCCCCAGTGTCCCCCAATGTCCCCATCCCAATGTCACCCACAGACCCGGTCCCCTGCCCATTGGTTTCCTTGTCTCCCAATGTCACCCACAACCCCGGTCTCCTCCCCATGGGTCCCTTGTCCCCCAGTGTCCCCCAATGTCCCCATCCCAATGTCACCCACAGACCCGGTCCCCTGCCCATTGGTTTCCTTGTCTCCCAATGTCACCCACAACCCCGGTCTCCTCCCCATGGGTCCCTTGTCCCCCAGTGTCCCCCAATGTCCCCATCCCAATGTCACCCACAGACCCGGTCCCCTGCCCATTGGTTTCCTTGTCTCCCAATGTCACCCACAACCCCGGTCTCCTCCCCATGGGTCCCTTGTCCCCCAGTGTCCCCCAATGTCCCCATCCCAATGTCACCCACAGACCCGGTCCCCTGCCCATTGGTTTCCTTGTCTCCCAATGTCACCCACAACCCCGGTCTCCTCCCCATGGGTCCCTTGTCCCCCAGTGTCCCCCAATGTCCCCATCCCAATGTCACCCACAGACCCGGTCCCCTGCCCATTGGTTTCCTTGTCTCCCAATGTCACCCACAACCCCGGTCTCCTCCCCATGGGTCCCTTGTCCCCCAGTGTCCCCCAATGTCCCCATCCCAATGTCACCCACAGACCCGGTCCCCTGCCCATTGGTTTCCTTGTCTCCCAATGTCACCCACAACCCCGGTCTCCTCCCCATGGGTCCCTTGTCCCCCAGTGTCCCCCAATGTCCCCATCCCAATGTCACCCACAGACCCGGTCCCCTGCCCATTGGTTTCCTTGTCTCCCAATGTCACATGTGGGGGAGGGGTCGTGGTGTCTCCTTGTCCTGGGGGGGGTCTCGGGGGACAAAGCCCCGAGGGTCCCTTTGTCCCAGTGCCACCTCCTGTCCTGGTGACCCCGTGACATGGGTGTCCCTGTGCCCGGGTGTCCCCATGTCCGGGTGACGCAGTGACACCACCCATGACATGGGGGTCCTGTGATATCAGGACAGTTCCGGGAGGGGGGGGGTGTCTTGGTGTCCCCTTGACCCTGTGACACGGTTGTCCCTGTGTCAAGGTGACGCTGTGACACAGGTTTCCC